GTGAGTCATCGTATTCTTTACTTGGTCGAACTTTTTCGATCCATGTCCTTGTTTCTTTTGGTAGATCAGTCGTCGTCGTCGTCATTGACATTGTCCTCATCATCGTTTTTGTTACACTTTTGGGTGGGCTCTGTTTTGGTGGTGGATAAGTTGATGTTGTTGGTGGTGGACGAGTTGATGTTGTGGTTGAGTTGGTGGGGAACGCTGTTGCCGATGGTATTTCCTCTGGCCATGCTCTCGTCATCATGGTAACTGGTGCTGTTCTCACATTGACCAAATCACAGTCGAGTTGATGTAAATTCGAGTCCAAATTCGTGCTGATCATCTGGGATAAAGTATTTAAATATGAACAATTGAATTGATTACTGTCGATGCCCACGATTTTCATGTTCGAAATGCGCGAGCTGTAGAATCCAAACAGTTCATGCAATTGATTGTTTCCAATCATAAGCGATTTCATTCGATCCAAGTGCGTCGGAAGAATGTTCGCACTTAGTGTCTTCAATTGGTTGTGTGACAAGTCTAATAATTCAAGAATATCACTCGCGAATGCGTGATCACCAACAATTTCGATCTTGTTATATGACAAATCGACTTTAGTCAATAGCTGATTATAGTAGAAAAATAATGACGGGATTTCCGTGATTTCATTATGTGATACGCGTAAATTACGTAATTTCAAAGCACCCCAAAACATTCCCTCAGCAAGCGATGATAGGCCCAGATATGACATGTCCAAAGAGTAAAGTTCGGAATAAACTTCAAAGAAGTCATTCGGAAGCTCTGGCCGTTCACAAGATGAGAAATTTATGGTGCCAATCCACTTCTTTGAATACCCATCCGAGCCGGTTAAAATTGTTCTATAAAGATGTTGATTCAAGCATTTTGATAGATCATCAGGTGAAAATAGGTTATGTTGGCGACGGGTTTCGACGCAGACGAGGGTCAAGTTGCAGTCTGCATACGAACCGTCATAAAAATAACAAGCGCCAATGTGCTGATATTTTGTAGGGCGGACAGTTTCAGAAATCTCCGCTGACACGTGAGTTGTCACAAAAACTAAAGTGAACAAAATCAATATGGATTTCATTTCCAATGAACTTTTTTTTCTAAACATTTCTCAAAAAACGACCGAACAATTTGAAGAATACTTATGAACTGAAGTAAATTAGCTCGGATTACATTAATTATTGCTGTTAATGAAACGGAATATTTTATCAGAAAAATTTGTGGGTGTTGCACTCACTAATCGCGGTTCCGAACAAATACCAAAGTCACACTTTATATCGTGCGATGTTCTGAATCCATCTGAATCACATCCTTTCGAATGAAGAAACTCATCGAAATGTTGTGAAATTATGTAACTCGTGCCAGATAATGATGTATTCTTTTGTAATAATGCACAACATGAAGGTTAAAGCAACACTACTAAAATCGCGACAAAAACCTAGGGGCTAGGAACAAGTTGTGTCATTCGTATGTATTCGCATATATTCATGCGTTCGTGGCTTTGTTATTGTTATTGTAAACTCACTGCGCTGCGAATGTCTCGTATACACAATCACAAGAATTCACGAATATTCGTACGAATTCGTCTCAAGCGCTTCTGTTACTACCCCCTAGACAAAAACGAACTCAAATTGTAATCTACGTTGGTGGAGACTGGCACAAAATTCAGACATTCTTATCTATAGGCCACTGCTATGTTACATACTTATACATTAGAGTTATCCGGAAACAGTTTTGTCATGTATCAAATTATACAATTCATTCAAAATGCAATTTAACTTGAAATTTTCAAGCGCATTTTTTGCTATCATTCGGAAATTCAAAGATTTTTCAAGCAAAACCACAGTTTGGTAATGGAAAAATGGGCGACCGTGATGTTTCGAATGC